TTTATCATTAACTATGTGTGCTTGCAGACACGAGTGGAACAGCAAGAGCAACGACCTTATCGTGTCTTGCCTTCACACCAGTGAGAACGGGCATGCTGAGTCTGTGGTCCCGCTCACTATCACCACGTTGCCGTGGAAGTGGCTCAAAGATCACATGGCTGCCTTGTCATGCCGGTCATGAGTTGCTCCAGAGGTTCAATGCATGTGTGTTTATTTCCATTCCATTCTGTTCCACTACAGTGAAGCCTGGGGTAAACCCTCGCTGTCACATGACCACTAACAGGAAGTGAGGCATAAGTTCACTACACAATTACAGTATGGCATCCCCCAAGTTTATGCCAACTGACTCTCACGGCTCCTTATATGGAGGCTCTATTCTTAGCACATGTGCATGATATGAAGACGGAGCTGCTGTTAAGACTCAGTCTGAGCACGGTTCAACACTGGCCCTGTTGTCAGTTGTTCCTCTGTAAATACATGTTTCAAATTACTGTAACTGTAACTCAAGCTATAATACGATATTTGTGGATTGCACTGCAGCGGATGTGGTGTTAATTAGTTGCAACGCTCTTGTGTAAAGTCATGTTTTGGAAACCAGAATTGTACCTGGCTTTAGGTTCAATTTTGGTTCAATTTTGATGTTCAGAGTTGATCCACAGAGAGATGTTTCAACAATTTTGATTACAGATTGTTTATGTTATATTATTTATGGAGCAAAAATACTAGACATTTCCTGATTCCAGCTCTTCGAATATAAAGACCTGCTGCTTATCTCTCTGTTTTGAAGCCATTTGAAGGTTTTTTTTTTAGACTGTTTTCTGACTTTTTATCAACTGAACAATTAATTGGTGAATCTGAAAATTAATCAGCAGATCAATCATTGTTGAAAATAATTAGTAGCTGCAGACGAGAGGCCCTCACAGGTCAATTCCTATGATCAGAAAGCCGATTTGGGACCTGATTAGGGTCAGGCCAAAATCCCATTCAGTGTAATTGGGTTGGATAGAGCATCATAGTATTCCCTTGGGTCTCGGGTCGGTTTGTTAGTGGGTATGTGTGGACTCTGACAGCTCTGATCATGAGGCGTGACATAATCATCATGAAAACAAAAGCGGGTTCTGCGAGACAAGATGGAGAGTGTCAACTGTGAAGTGCAGTAAAGATAAACATAGTGCTGCTCTTTTTGATGGTCGCTGCTCGTTAAATGAAGCATAACATTAGTTGAGGCACAGGACGCTGAAGTTTCACCTGTATCGGCTGAGTGGCATCAGCTGTTTCTAATATGCTTCACAATCACTGGCTCACTGTCACGCAGGTGTAGGTCTCCTCCTTATGTGCGATGTTCCTGCTGTTGTTGATTTTACCCAAGATTTATGCTCTATATGTTTGTTAATGGGGGATTTGCTCTTGGCAGAAAACCCAGCCGCTGCTTGGATTGTCTGAGAGCGTCCTCAAACAGCAGAGCCTTTTCTGATAAATCTAACTGTGCAACCATTTGCTATAAATTGGGACTATTTGGACTGCATTTTAAAACGGGTTTAATCATTCTGGTGTGTTTTTGCACCAGGTCAGACTGTCCTTGGGCTGGTTAACATTTCTGAAGTGCGCTCTACAAAATTAAAGTTCGAACAATATTAAAACCCCAAATTTACCGATGAGACCCCAGAAATAACCACCTATGCACACAAAGAGATTGACTTGTCTTCCTTTTTTAAAATACTTTTTGTTCCTTGATATATTACATTTCCCTACATTTCCTGTTTATGTTTTAAGATAATACTCTAAGTCAGAACAGTGTACAATATAGGCCAGCATTTGAATCAGCTTGAACAAAAACAAAATCCTGATCTCCCTGAAGGTGTAATGTGTAAGAGCTTGAATTGGACAGTAGAGTAAACATTACGTCATACTAATCTGTACTCACTCTGACAAGAGATAAAAGAACTTCATTGTCTTGCTTTTTTCTTTTCTTTTTTTTTTTTTTTATTACCTGACTCCAAGCATTTACACCAGTGGTCCAGTGCTGCGCAGCATCATCCAATCATGTCCCTTCACAACTCTTCTTCACACTCTCTGTGCTGGTTACCAAGGAGACAGTGAAGTGAAGTCTGGGAAGTGGAGCAATGGTTTGGCATGAGTGTTTTTTTTTTTTTTTTTCTTCTTTGCTTTCTCTTTTGACATCCTGGGAATGGAGTATTACCAGCAGGACTAATGATGTGTGTGTGTGTGTTTATCATATTACAAGTGAAGGAAGCAAGACTGAGAATTCACTATACTGTGTACAGTGGATAAGCATGCATGTGAAATAGCAGTTGTGTCACAGGCTCTGTCACCTGATCCCCGCCCTCCCACCTGTTCTCACCATTTTCTCTCTCTGTGATCCCACAACTCCTTGCGGGATGTGAGCACACCTCCTCTTGCCAGGAATCTGTTAGCAGTGACAGACGAGCTTCAACCAACCAGACGCCGTTTTAAATAACGAGTGGGCCGTTTTGGAATGGTAGTTTAAGAATGAGGAGGGGGTTTTAGTGTTGTACTCTGGGGTAAAGGGAGCTGATTTAAAAGTCAGCTGACTGAAGATGACATTAGCTGAAAGCTGACATGTCAAGCCTTCGAGGTGTTTCTGCCCTTTCCAGTTCTTGCACCTGCACATACATGAACCCACACACACACACACACACACGTATAATTTATATAGCATAGCCTATGCTTATCCAACCACATGCTCTTTAGCTTTGACTTTTTCCTAACCTCATTTTACCTCACCTTTCACTTTTGCTGTCACATTTTAAATATGTGCTGCATCTGCTCCTCCGCTAACTGTTCAGGTCCATGCGTGTCCGTCGTCCATCCATCACTGTATGTCTCTCAGAGTGGGCTGTATTCAGCAGGATTTTTTTTTGTCCTATAGGCAGCATGGGAGGGGTCCCGAACAGCTGGGTCTGCTTCAAGTTTTGTGCTGTCGCAGCAGTCGAAGTTATTGTACGGATGCAGAAACCTGGCAGCTCAACAAGAAATATTTTAGCAGGGTTGCAAGTGGAACCAGGCAAAAAAAAAAAAACACGAGTTCATTGAAAAGGTGGATGCAGATTGACAGACAATGTGTCAGGAGGGTGCATCGAAGATTTGAGATTGTTTGTGTGTGTGTGTGTGTGTGTCTAGATGTCTCCGTTCATCCAGAGCCCTACCAGGCTGTTTGCTCACTTAGTTCCCCAGTGTCTCTTTCAGCCCCTGGCCATCAGATACAGACACAACTGATGTCTCTTCTCTCCTCTTTCCTTTAATTATATTCCTTTCTGGACCTCCATCCCCCTACGCATGCAAGCATATACACATGCACTCTCTTCATCACCTCCTCTACATCTCTGATTACTGTATGAAACAGTTTGCTGCAATGCTCTACAGTATGTCTGCTAGCCCTCTGCATCTCTCCGCTGCTTTGCTTTTACCTTCTCTCTAATCCCTCTCTTGAATGATTTATTTGAAGGGTGAAACTGGGTAAACACAATAGGGCTGACACACTCATCTACACCTCCTGCCCTCTGCTGCATCTCTCTTTCGCTCTGCGCCTCTTCTCTTTTATTTTCCTTGCTTTGTCTCTACCTTCTCTCTCTCTTTTCTCCCCATCCTCCCTCATTCCCTTTCTGTCTGCCCGCACCTCCAACTCCACTGTCAGCACTTCTGCTCTCACCATGTTTGTGTCGCCTTGCTTTATGAATAAATCGGAGCTCGTTTGACTCCTGTGAACCCCTGAGCTCACCGAGCCACCGCTGCTCTGCTGCCCTCGGGACCAGAGATGCGTTGACAGGATTTGATTTTTGGAATATGTGTGATATGCTCATGTGGGTTTGGGATTAAGTGCATATGAGAGGTGTCACCCCCAAAATACTTCTCATCCACTTCGAAGGGAAAAGATAATGCTTGGTGTTTCCTGGGGAAAATAAAAAGTAAAGGATTTCTTATTCGTGCATGGGAGCCATTTTTTGTCATATAATAAACCAACTGAAACAAGTTGTTCATCCAAGCAATACTGAATCTATGGCTTTCTCTTTTCTAGTCTGTGCATTAAGTATGAAGCTGGTGTGCTAACTAGCTCAGCTTTGAGTCTGTCGTTGCTAATCTGGGTTTGTCAGGCAGTAAGTCATTAGTAATGTGTTACAGTAATGTGATTTTTCAGTAACAGGAGTTGGGAGTTGGATAGGATGGATGCTATCAGCACAGTGGGACATGTTAGCTTGGTGATGATGGAAAGCAGTTAGCACCAACTAAACAAGGAGGAATGCCCCTCTGCCCAATGCCAAAGTTGTTTTATTTACATTTTGTTGTCTTAGCTGGCTAGCTGGCCACTGGTAAGCTTACATTAAGGAGTTAGCTGGTCTTTGTTCACTTTTGGAGGGTGAATGATCTGTGCTTTTGTGCTGTTTGCAGTCACTGCAGCTAAGCTAGCAGTTGTTGGTCATTAAATAATTCAGAACAGGAGGCTGCCTGATTTTGAAACCACAGTGTTTTGCTTTTTATTTCTGCACATGTTAAGGGAAAAATGCAAATCCTCTTTCTTATCTAAAACGAGAAGATCAATACTGCTCGAATGTCTGTGCGTTTAGTTAGGTTAGTTTAACATGAATACTGGAAGCAGGGGAAAGTGCTAGCCTTGTTTTTTCCTAGCTTCAGTGTTAAGCCTCCCAGCGCATCTAAAGCTGACTTATTAACATTTTACACAACGTTTTAATATGTATTCAAACCTAAACATGCTCAAGCTAGTGCTCCTGGTAGGCACGTTTTTGAACTTTGGAAAGAGTCAGACAAACTGTCTGTACGCTAAGCTATAATTCCATCCTGGCTCCAACTCATTACTTAACATGTGAGACATGGGATTGATATTGTCTCTGATACTGACTATTGACTTATCTCAGTGTTTAAAAGAAAGCAGATCAGCGTTACCAAAATGTTTAACTTAAAACTAAATAAAAAACATTTTTTTTTTATTCTTCCTTCTACAGATGCAGATACTTGACAAGTTCCCAATTGAGGGAGGGCAGAAAGACCCAAAGAAGAGGATCATCCCATTTCTCCCAGGTAATAGCTTGCTCCTGAGCTGCAGTTATCTGAACAGGCTCACATATTAATAATGTATGGCTGGCACTCGCAGGGCATCAATACGAGCTGGTTACTGATGCCTGCCTGTGGTGCATGTGTGTGTGTGTGCCTTTCCCATTGACTTTAATGGGAAAGTGGTCTCAGACTTTTGGACCCCACCGTATAGTTGTCTGTGTTACCATGTTACTGCTGACAGGGCGTCATCTGACTTTCAAATCTCAGCTAATTGCATGACTATAGTGTGTTTCTGTTTTTGTGACATTTTTGAATTGAGCTGTTGGTATGTATTTGATCATTTTATTACATGGATATATTGTGTGTGTGTGTGTGTGTGTGTGAGTGTGTGTGTGTGTGTGTGTGTGTGTGTGTGTGTCACAGTATTGATTCGAGTTGTGCTACACATGCTCGTCTCTCCTCCTGGAAGTCGTCGCCTCACATTCAGGTTCATGGCGACCTACAGCACAGTGTGGCATTGATCGATGATGGTGTTTGTGGCAATTCAGTGTGCGGGGCAGAAGGGCCGACAGTGATTCTGCTAATCACACTGATGTCTGGTGTATATATGTGTGTTGTGTACAGCTGTATGTTTGTCATGCAGATTTCTGTAGATTCATTTGTGCTTAGGGAGTGAAATGCTTCCGTCTGTTGACAGCAGTTTATTTTGGTAAATGCTTTGTGTAAGCCCTGTGGCCAACACATGGTCTCAGCATCAACTGTAAATGCTCACTACACTCACACCCCCCTTCTCCTTTGAGTCTGTCTGTCTCTTGTTGACACACATTTACAAACAAAACCAATTTGGAAGCTAACCAAACATCCATCTACCTCTTTTCTGTGAAGCCTGTGGCACCAGATGCAAACATTATTAACTGTCACCATCGGTTGGTTGGCCGAGTGCTGGACTTCCCTCATTGGCTGTTGCACTTTCAAAGCTTTCCCTCTGCAGGTACACCTCTCTGTGCCATTCATTGAAATTACCGCACAGCAGCTGACATAGATGCGAAAGAACTAAAATTCTCTCTGAATGATTATTTTATGAGTAAACATATCTGAAATCACAGCACAGCCATTGTCTTTACCCTATGTCTGTGGTGATATTGTCAGACGACCTCATGGTTATGAAAGAATTTTAGGAGAACAGAGCAGCAGCTTGGAAAAAGCTTGGATGTGATTGCTAGTTAACATGTCATCTTATAAGCCTGTGTTTCAGTCACCATTTCATACTTGTCCCGTTGTCTGACAACAGAAACAGAAAAAGATGTGAACGAGAACAGCTTCATTGTGAATTTGGCTGTATTAAAATACTGTATATGTGAGCACAGAGAGGAGGAACACACAGATAAAGACTTGAAACCAGCTGAACATATATTTGAATTTTGTAAGTAACTAAAGTAACTGTTATTGTTAACTGTGAAATGACTACTGAATATTTAATATTGAAATTTAAATACTGCTGTGTTGAATCACAATTTTCAAGACCATTACATTCAAGTAAACATTGCATGTGTCATTTAACATTTAAGAATGTTGGCTTCTTTTGATGAATGAAAAAAGGTTTATTTTTTATTATTTATTTATTTTTTAATAGAAAAACATGCTTATATTCCTCAAAGAAATGTATTGAAATGGACATTGTTTTAACACTCAGTCACTACCCAGATGATTGTCTTGTCTGTCCTTCATTCTACATGTTGATTTAAAAGAGAACAGCATCCAACATGGAGAACAGTGATGCAGGTCCTATAACCTCAACAAGTCTCAACAACTATCACTTCTATTTGTTTTGGGGTCTTAAAAACACTAATATATTTGAACAGTTTTTTTTATGTATTGTCAGTAATTAACAACATTAAAATGTACAATTATTTTTGTCATATCTAATTTATATGGCTTTTTTCTTAAAACAGGAGCTGAAAAGCTGAGTATGCAAGAAATGCTCATTATTTTTACACTTCTGAAACAGGCTAAAGTTAATACAATTTGTGTAGGGAGTTGGGGTCCTTGGAGCTGTACTTTAATGTTCCCCATGAGTGGGCTGAGAGGAGGGCCTAAACCCATGTGTGCGTAAATCATATTTGTTATTTAGAAAGCCATGTCACAGGCAGAGGTCATGGAATCCATAGGGGACAGATAGAGCCTTGAGTGTGGGAGTGAGATTTGTTGGGCCCTGAAGGATCCCCACCGTACATTACTGGCATCTCCTGGCAGGCTAGGGTACTACACACAGCAGTCTCCACTGTGAAAATTAGCTTAAATTTGTTAAGGGGTTGGAGTGGGGTGCGGGGGCTGTATGCAAGTGTCAAATACATACTCTTCTCATTTGTCTGCCCTTTTTCTCCTTTTCTTTGTATCTATCATCACACCTCTCCTCTTTTTTCCTTCACCTTCTCTCTCTCCTTCATTTTTAATTTTTTTTCCTTTTTCTTTCCTCCAGGCAAGATCCTGTTCCGGAGGAGTCATGTGCGAGATGTGGCCATGAAGCGACTGCGTTTCATCGACGACTACTGCAGGGTAAAGAGGCCTTACTGTAAACATCCTACAGCTCCCCCCCCATCTGACTCTGGGGAATGTCCCCCCAGCCCATGAAGGTTCAGAAGTCACAGCCTATACTGTCCTTTCAAGTGCTTTAAACATGGGATATGATGTTTAGACACAGTCGTGCTCTCAGTGAGAAACTATTTATTAGTTCTATTCTGAGACATCTGAAGAGTCTGTAATCTGCTCTGACACTAGTTTTCCGAGGCTGTGAGGGACTCCACTCGGTGGGGAAATATTATGATCGTTTCCTACTACAGGTTTGTTTACTTTCATGTGTGGCACTGTCGGAGAAGCAGGGCGACCTAGTTGTGCATCAACCTTTCTGTGTCACGGCACAACATGAAACAGATTTTGAGCTCCTCCATTATTTCAAAGTCCTACTCAGTAACAACCTTATCCCCTCATTTGATACAGCTAGGAGAGAAAGTTCACCTCCGAATTAGCGTCCCTTTCCCACCTGCAAAAAAACAAACAAAAAAAACAAACAAGCAAAAAAAAAAACCCTTGAAAGCAATGGCCCTTTGTCATTCTTTAGTTCAAGAGAGACTCGCCTTATCACTTCCTGTTCCCTCTCTTATTAGATTTTTATTAATCCTGGATTCAGATCCTTTCCTCCGTCATGCCTTCCCCACTTCCTTCCTTCCTCTTGGTACAAAGCCAATATGTTTGTCTCTATACACACAGTTAGGTAGCAGTATTGTTGGCCTGTGTTAGGAAAGGTTAGCAACACTATCAGCTTGGTAATTGGGACCAAAGGAAGTTTAAAAACAAAAAGCAATTATACACATCTGAAATGAACCTGATCCTTAGCTTAGTACATGCAAAGCTGTATAAAAAGGGAACCAGCTTTCTCATTACCCAAATAACCTGAAGCTGTCTAATGTTCACAGTTGCTGTAGCAATCCTGTTTTTTAGCTCAGCACTGTTTATTTCCCACATCCTGTTTATGAGGCAAACAACAGAGAGGAGGAGTAATTACCCAGTGTTCTCAAAGGATCTGCTCTCTGGAGATATGCAGAATACTGAGTCCAGTCAGCTGTGGGTGCTCGGACAGATACGTCCTCTTCAATCACATCCACGAGGTTCTTTCAATAATATAGGATCCAATGAATGAAATATGAAGCTGGCTCAGACTCGCGCCGATTTAAATGAAAGGCCCACACTGTTCATAATATGTCTTCGCACATGTTCACGGTCCAGTACTCCGGTACTGTACATGAGATGTGCCTTTGGTGGGAATAGGCCATATCATTAAATATAGATGATTAGTCAGACATATGATCCTCTCTTTGACTGTAGTTTGGCTTTGTCAATAAACATACAGGAAGAGAACAGTGGAGCAAGGAGGGTTGGAACTGTCTGGCATTTATTGCTCAATAGTTGCATTACATTTTGGTAGATATACATAAACAAATAGGCATGCGCCTGAGATACAGTTATTTTTCACCAGTTTCTTGACTTCTTGGGGCAGTGGAGTAACATGTGAACACATTACTGATATTAGGGATGCCACAATTTCAGATTTTCACTACACAATCATCTTAGCCAAAAGAATTCACGTGGCAAAATTTTGAAAAAAAAAAAAAAAAAAATGATAATAATGCATCAATCTTTAACTGAGTTTATTGTGTGTTTCTTTTCTCTAAACTCTTTAGACTCAAATATGAGTGTAGTGAGGTGGAGAGAGAATCTGTAACTATAACTGTATGAAAAGAACACAAAAGGAGTTTAAAGGAGTTATTAGTAAATTTTGCTATCACTACATCACCAACATTAGCATTAACAGATGTTTACTCACCAGTCTAGAAGAAACGTTGTGGGTTCACCATCAAACTTCAATTCTTTACTCCCCAACAGCTGTCTCCAGCAACGCCACTTGTCTCTATCATGTCTTTTTGTCTGCTGAATTTAGCATGCTAACTAGCTAGCTCCTTCCAGTTTTGTCACTTTCCGTCTTGTAAACGCAACAACGACCAAAGCTCTTGTCAAACGACGATCACCACCACCCTGTATGGTGGCCCTGAGAGCTCAAAGCACTGCAACTTAAGAAAACACACGCAAATACACAAACGCATGCGCTGCAAATACACACAACTCAATGGGAGTTGTTGTTTTCTGCAGCGGCCGGGTTTGAATCCTTGAAACCTGTGGCCCTTTGCTGCATATGTGCGTATTTGCTGAAGTTGTTTGTGTTTTGTCTTTTTACATGTGTTTTTTGAAGTTGCAATGCGTTGTGTTGTCAGGGCCACCGTACCACCCACTCTTGGCAAGCCCCCTTTAATGGATAGTACAAAGGCAATCCGATGAACTGATAAACAAAAGATCCACAAGACCTAATGCTGTATCATGCTATTATCATATATGTATTATTAACATGATATCACGACACCCCTAACTGACATATAATCACCTTTTACAGTTGTTATAGCAAATGTGTTATGAAACAGTGGCTTATTTACACATCCAGCAGGCACAGAGAAACATTAGCATTCATGTGGAGTAATGTTTCTTTCCACCAATTTTAACTCCGTTTTGGACCCAACTAATTATTCAATTTTCCTAGTTGCTCATTTTGTCTCCCTGCTGTTTAGAGGAAGCTCATTGTGGGTTTCAAAGCTTTTTAGTCGTAAACAGCTGTCTGCTACAGCTGGAAATTGTTTCGATGAGAATAGTGTGGGCTTGAAAACCAAAACAATGAGTAAAACAGGCTAAAACACTAACCATAGTTAGAGAAACTGCAGGTAGTTCTCTGTGGTTTTGTCACTACAGGTGCCACATTTGACCCATTGTTTCTGTTTCTCTCTGTAGGCACTGGTGCGACTCCCCCCTCAGATTTCTCAGAGTGAGGAGGTGCTGCGCTTCTTTGAGACGAAGGCCGAGGACATCAATCCTCCAGTGGAGTGAGTGTCCCATACTGTACATGCCGAACACACAAACACATGTACACATGCTGTATGTGTGGCGTAATCGGGTTGCAGATTTATGTGTTGCTATCCTGTAGTGACACCATCTTTACTTTGGTGGCAGGGTCCAACTAAACCCAGTTTAACTGACTGTGAAAAGGTGGATGGGTGGAAATACTCCACCACCACCACCAATGGATAATAGTAGCTATGTAAATATGGGTGTTGTTCACTCCCCAAAAAAATAGTCTGAAATAGTTTTTTTACATCAACTGTAGGAAAAAATGTCACTGCTTTTATCTGACCTAGGACAGACGTGAAAGTGCTGTGTAGTGATGAAAGCAAGATAAAAAATAACATAATCCTCCGCTTACAAATGAAAAGTTAAATTCATAACTGGCTTTATTGTCACAGCCTTAGGGGTTCTGTTTTGACAGGTAGCATACAGCAGCTAATGCTAGCTAAGATTAGCAAACTTCAGCTAACTCAACGCAATCTTGTACATACGCAATAAAAGAAATTTATAAAAAAATTAATTAAGGTTATTGACACATTTGAATGACGTCCCTGAAGGTCTGTGTGCCGAATCATTATAGATAAATGTGTACAAGAGTGTGTGTGTGATCAGTCAACCTATGGTCTTCACTCATGCACCTGTCGATTCAGAGGTGTGTGAAAGTTCTACTTCTACCTGTCGTAGATAAAATAAAACAGTCAACACTCACAGTTGATGTTTTCTGCTTGTGGTCCTGCTGCACTTGTTTCCATTCAGTGGAGTTTGCTCTTTCCAAAGGTGAATCTTTTTAAGCTCATTTTGGTGATTTGCAAGTGAAAATGTTGTTGACAGTTAGGTGTCACCAGACTAGATTTGGTTGCAAAATTAAACTTGTTCAGCTGTATAACTATAATTCCAATTGCATTTTGATGATTATATTTCAACATGCAGCTGGTTCCGTAGGATCTCCTAGACATGTTTCATGGCAGGTGCTGCACAAAAACAGCTGAAAATATACATTCTTTATACACTGCACAGATGCCACCACAGTAATGATGGTGTGTTTACTTCTGCCTACAGCCTAACAGATACATATGAGTTCACACACAGATGCACACGCATGCATACAGTATGTAAACTTTCTCATTTTAATGCTGAACATGCAAACACAGTGTTTACGAAGAATTAGATCACTTTGTTGACTGATGGCGTTACTCACAACAGCTCAGCTGTTGTTGACACACAAAGCACACGCGCCTTAACACCTTGGCATCATCCTCTAAATGTCAGCGTCCTTTTGCACGTTATTGTTTCACACCAAATCCCAAAAATACTGCATGACTGTACAGTGGCTAAGCTCATTACCTCTCTGTCTGTTCTCACTTTCGAGTCTATTCCCAAATCAGCCCTTTCTCTCAGAGTTTGTTAAAACCTCCTGCCAGGCCAGGCGGGGGGTGGGGGTGGGGGTTGGGGGGTTGATGGATGTGAGGGTGGGAGGAGGAGAATGACTTGTTTCATAGCAGGAGATAGCCCCTTTGGGTAGATTTTAATTAGAGAACACACTCTCCTCTCCAAACCTCAAATGCCAGTATCGTACTATTCATTTGTAATGTGTTCCTGTATGTACCGAGATAGCAGCACCCGAGACGCCGCAACTCGCTGCTCTTGTTAGACTCAGGCTATGTCTTTTTTTGTATTTTAATTACTCCTCTCCTCTCCTCTCCTCTGTTGTTGCCTTTCTCTCTTGGATGAGAGAAAAGAGGTGAAGCAGGCAGTATTTAGTGACCTCTGCCTGCCAGTGTTTTCAGCACAACATAGTAGAGTATCTCCCTCCCTCTCTTCCTCTCTCCTCTAATTCTTTGTATCTAACTCTGCCTCATAAATTTAAGTGTGTTTAATTGACACGACAGCTCAAGGTTACAAACACCACCGCCAACGCAATCATCCTTGATCAAGAGCTATGGTTTCCTCGCTGTCCATACAGCTCTCCATCTTTTCCATCTACAGCTTTCCATTTGACTTATGCACTTCATCCTTTCCAGTCTTTTTTTTTTCTTGCTATGAACATCATTCAATCTCTCACCGACTCTCTCTCTCTCTCTCTCTCTCTCTCTCTCTCTCTCTCTCTCTGTCCTGTATATGCTATTGTACTCTGGTGCATAAAGAAATGGCATTAATCGTCTTGTCGAGTTCTGGGAGATGAAGCCATACACGAGGAGCATAATAAAGTGTGTACACACTGCCCTCACCACTCACAGTCTGTCGGCCCCAACTGTGATACACACAGTGGTGCAGTCATTTAAAACACTTCAAACATCAGTTCGGTTGATAAAATTAAACGGGACTTTGAATGTTATAGAAATTCACTGTAGATAAAGCACATTCAAAGATACCTTTAATTAAGTTTGCTACATGGCCTCATAATTAGACAAAGTCCTGTACTTACTGTAAGTAAAAGCTGATAAATTTTGAATGCACGACTTTTACTTGTAATGTTCACCTTATAGTTTTACTACTACGATTTCCAGTGAAGTAGGTTGAGATATCCTGACTCTTAAGCTGTGTTCACGCTGATAATATTCCTGTGTTAAACAGCACACTTGGTGCTAATGCGGGGCATGTTGTTTCATATACTTGGAAGACAATGAAATGTGATCCAGGAAGTGCAAAGCTTAAAGCTTAAAAGCTTACCTGATGCCAAGACACCACACAGTGGTTTGTAACACTCACAAACAGGTGTTCACGTTACAAAATAATCCACCAGTAATGTGCAGTAATTGTACTGCACATTACTGTACTGCGATCTGATTGGGTGACGCAGCACCTCGTGTCATGCTGTGTTGCTTCAAAAGTTGAACCACTTTTATGCCGCTCAAGGATCTGATTCTGCCACCATTCTGCAACACAGTTATGTCATTTATTGGGTGAATACAACATAGTATCATTTGACAACCACAGAATAAACTGATGGCATTTAGTAGATTGCATATGTTTTCAAAGATGCATGAAACAACCAAAAGAGCTCCAACGAGGACAAGGACGTTTTTCATTGCCACTGTCGCCAAGTTCTTGCTTATGGTGGGAATGGTTGGGTCTCTGTAAATAATATTATGAGGGTACGGTCTAGACCTGCTCTGTTTGAAAAGTGCCTTGACTTCTGTTGTGATTAGGCGCTATATAAATAAAAATTTACTTGACTTGACAAACCTGTGCTGAAGCTGCAGATACTGTACCATTCAAAGGTTTGGACACACCTTCCCATTCATTGGTTCTTCGTTATGTTGACTATTTCCTTCATTGTAGAACAATACCGAAGACATCAGAATTACGAAATAACACAAATGGAATTATGTAGTAAACAAAAAAGTGTTAAAAAAATATATGTTTCATATTTTAGATTCTTCAAAGTAGCCACTGTTTACCATGATAACAGCTTCACACAATACAAGCATTATCTTCACTAGCTCTATGAGGTCATCACCTGGAATCCTTTTCAATGGACATTCAATGTGTGCCTTGATAAAAGTTAATTAGTGCCTTACTAATGCGTTTGAGACTGTCAGTTGTGTTGTGTCGTGGTAGTGTTGGTATACAGTAAGCAGTCCTATTGGACAACAGTACTAATCCATATTAAGGCAAGAACTCTTCAACGAAGTAAAGAGAAATGACAGCCCATCATTACTTTAAGACATGAAGGTCAGTCAATCAGAAAAAAATGCAAGAATTTTGAATATATCGTCAAGTGCAGTTGCAAAAACCGCTCTGATGAATAGGTCTCATGAGGACCGTCCCAGGGAAGGAAGACCAAGACTTACCTTTGCTGCCGAGCCTCGGAAATCTCAGATTAGAGCCTACTGTATATGAAGCTTCACAGAGTTCAAGTAGCAGACTCATCTCATTGAGAGATGTGTCCGAGACATATCAGACTATGACATTCTACATAGGATAAAATGACGAATTCTTTTGCCCGATGCTCATTTTTGTTCCAGATTTCCCGTGTCTGATGCGGCTTTAATTGGCCAAGACAAGCGAGCACAGCTAGTAACATCCAATAACACACATACCAAGGAAATATTCAGCTCCTTGTCCTACAGCGAGGTGCTTTTCTAACACAGTCATTAAAAGAGTCAATGAAAACACTGTTCCTGTTATGCATGTTACTGCAGCAGACCGGCTGTGTGCTGGAAGTAGAGGTTGTAGTTGTGGAGATCTCAGCCTGAGCAAGTGCTGTACTCCAGTCAGCTTCAGATCAAACTGAGCCAGAACCTCCTCTGGCTTCTCTGGATCCCTGAAGACTTTCACTCTGTCTTAATAAAAGAAGAAAATACTCGGGAGAGTGAACTGCCCACTTTGGTCAAAAAAAAAAAGAAAAAAGAAAATGACTGCTCAGTTAATGGTTAGTAAGACGTCATGATCCAGGGGACTCGATGTGTGTCACGGCTAAATTGGATGGGTTCTTTTTGTTCCCTACCTATAATGCATCTGCTAAATGAAAATGAATCAGGGGTGAGTTCAGGAATGGAGATTGGCCATTGATTTGAGGTTGTGATTGGAGAGTGTGTGTTAGCAGTGTGTGGGGTTTTTTTTTTTATGTTTGTGTGCAAGTACACATGCGCTATGTGCTGTGTAGGAAGAAAAGTGATTTGTAACCCTGAATACTGTTAATCATGGGTTGTGTGTGTGTGTGTGTGTGTGTTAGTGTGTGTGTGTGTGTGTGTTCTTAATTATAATAGTATTTAAGTTGATGTTGCTAAAAGATTTAAAATCTAAATGCACTTAAAAAGTCTTGGACTTGAAAAGCCTTGGACCACTAATAAATTTTGTTTCTCAGCTCGAAGTCTCTCAGTAGCTTTCAACTGTATCCTATGGTCTTCATCAGTAAATGGGGCAAAGTTCAGCATACTTTGACTCAACAAGGATGAGAGGTCTAGAAATGAACATAAACGGAGCTTGCATGTCAACAGATCTATCTCCATGACAACTCAGACTCCGTCCTCTGATG